TAGACTCAACCGTAAGAAACTTCCTAATACGTCTAATGTTATGCAGATGATAAAAAGCAGCTTTACATGTTTTCGTAATGTGTCACTAGACTAAGGTTGGTATCAAACCAGGTGCAACAGCAACAGGTGCAACACTCACATTACCCACCGATAACTTCTCGATGTCCACCTTGCTAAGCTGTTGTCGTGTACCAATTATTAAGAATTCGGTTTTGTCGTCATTTAGCTTTAACTTAAACAACATGACGTACAGTAAGGTGGCCAGTCTAATCAAATACATAGGTCATTTCTCTTGTGCAGGAAAACCACACATGCACGTTATTTACCAGTAAAATATCAAGAAGAACATTTTGTATGTCAGTCATACAGGCCGGGGATGGGAGAGGAGGAGTCACAGGACAAAAAAAATCAACAAACTGAACACAGACAGAAAGCTGTCTCAAGTCTGATGAAAACCAGAGACAAGCTCAGCTAGTCAATTAGCCCGCGAGCAGGCTCTCATGTGTTGCGGCAGGAGCAAAGTCAATGAGCAAAGTAGCGACAGACGCTTCAGCGAGGGAAGCGAGCTGATGGGGGCCTGGCTCGAGAAATGAGAGCCTGCACGGAAGGCAACAGCGCGTTCGCTCACCAACGCAGCATTCTGATTGGTGAAAAATGACAGGTGCCATTAATATGACCAAAACCAGCGGTGATTATCAAACACAAACATGGCATGGCGTCCGAGAATCCAAGTGCGGGATTTATCCTGGAAGCTTTTCGAAAACTTTCCATCGAAGCAAGTAATCTGGTCCATTTAAAACACGAACGGGAAAAAGCCGTGAATTGTCTTTCAGAACGAAGAGATGTTTTGGCGGTGATGCCAACTGGGATACGGTAAACGTTTTATATTTCAACTGTTTGAAACTGCAGTGATGATCAAGAAAGTTCGCGAGGGACAGTACTGAGATACTCTAGTGTTAGTGACTTGCACGCTAACCAATATAATTCAGGATCTGGTCAAGGAATGAAAATCACTTGACTTTGATTGTGCTGCGATAAAAGATCTCAGAGATTTGTCCAATGTTGGAAGCGGCAAAACACAAGTATTATTTGCATAATTATCATGTTTGTTCATGTTTTTCTCAATTTCTATTGGCTAATAATTTGACACATTAAGCTAGCGAGTTGTCAAAATCTTGACACCTTCAGAGGGGCTGCCGTGAAGGCTCTCATTCTCTATCGCTTCGTTCGCTGACAGCTTTGCTCGTTTGCTCGTGCCACCAACGACGAGAGCCTGCTAGCAGGCTACTTGTCAAGTGCGTGTCGCAATTTGAAAAATTAATTAAGAGTCCTCGATAGGATCCGACCCAATGACTTCCTACTTCATAGGGTATTGATAAACATCTTACACAATTTCAACACTGAGTGATAGTTTTACAATGTAAAAACTTCAACCAGGGTTACCAAAGACTTTTCATCCAATCGCATTCGACAGTGAACTACAAGAATCGGAGTTTGTTCGTGATAGGACTAAACGTGTTGAAGCTGCGGTTACGTTCTAGGTTTAATTCATTGTGTTCAATTTTCCTTGTCTTGAACACAGCAACGAACAAACGACAAAAATAATTTGAACTCAGCGCGGACAATCTGAATGGTGGCTTCTCATGCACTCAATTGGGTTCAAATTTGATTTGGCCCGAGGTTGAAAATCATTATTGCCGGTGAGTTCATGGTTGATTTCTTGTTGTTATCGGCATATCTGCTATTAGGCTTAACATTAGTTTTGCTGCTGGGTCGTTCCCAGTTCACCTCTTGGCAGTATTAGTTTTCGTGTTGCCAGATTCACTCAGGGTGTTAGTTATTTTCTCGCTACGTTCAAGATCGTTTTGTTATAGAACCGGTATCTTCAGTCGAGAAGGAAATGTAACATTTGTTTTAAAATTATCATTTTTTGTTGCTAGACTGCGAAGAATTTGTTCCTATGCGCTGGGTTCAACTCGAATTAACTTCATCGTTCGCTTATTGCGTTGTTCAAGTCGACGAAATTTGAACGTAATGACCAGGCAATCTAAAATTTCTGTTCGAAGGACTACTTAAGATATCGCGCTGCTCGAACATGATTAGTGAGACCACAGATAAACTCAGAATCTTTAGTTTCAAAGTCGTGTTGTGATTGGTCAAATACTCTCAGTAGTCGTTGCACTGCAACTTTGCCGGGTTCTTAGTAATATTTCACCTTTTCCTCTTCCTGCTGTCTTCATCTCGCGGCAACTTCACCTGAAGAACTTTGAAATTCACTTTGGAATCCTCAAAGCCAATGGCGATAAGACGCTTAGGCAGACAAGCTGCTAAACTGTACACACGGCTTTCCAAAGCTATTTCACTTAGCAGGTCACCAGACTTGACATTAAACAGCTGAAGAAAAGCACCGATCACTTCATCACCGAAGCAGGTAACGCACTCCTCTTCACTAACAAACTTATAGTAAGGCTCACCACCAAAAATATGATTACATGAACATAACGTGTGGAGTATCTTTCCTAAAAGTGCATCGAGGACGTAAAGGTTTAGGTTAAAATCCTCGGCAAATCGTCGTCTTCCAGCAAGTACACAATACTGTTCAGTAGGAGAAAATGATTGACCAGAGGTATGCCAATCGGCGCTAAACACCGGTTCCTCCATCTTCCAGAGAACTTTGTCGCCGCACTGCATCTGCAATACACCATACACATCCTGATTACTGTACTCAACGGACATCACGTGGCATTTACTGTTACATGTAATAAAATCACCACGTAAATTGACTGTTGACACAATGCCTTCCCTGCTTGTATCCACAACGATGACTTTACTCCGTGCATCACAGGCGCTCTCTTTTTCACAGGCGCTCTCCTTTTCACAGGCGCTCTCCTCTTCACTAGTGCTATCTTCTTCACGGGCCCTCTCTACACAGGTCACTTGTTCTTCTGATATGGGGATTACTTCAGTGATATCCCCTAAGTCAGTCCAACTTCGGATGCACTCAGACAACTCAAAATTCCACAACTCAAGGGTGTCCCCTCTGGTTCGCAAAAGAACACCTTCTCTTACAGCTACTAGAATATAGTGAATATAATCAAAATCGTTTTTCTCTGCTTTGAACATGCCACTTGAAATGTCCCAAGCTTTTAGTGTTGCTGGGGTCCCACTTGTTTCAGTGATAACGTACAGAGCGTCACCATTCAATGATAATACGACTTTCTTCACAATAGTTTTCGAAACTCCAGCACTGTTTTTCGTCAGTTCATCAAGGTTTGACATTTCTATGACGCTGCTGAAGTAAGAAGAAACTCTCAACACAGATTGTTCGTTTAGCACAAAAACGAGAATGGGCTGCTGTTGGATGCTATTTGTTTCAGGTGACCAGCAAAAAGGATCTCCTAATAAAAAGCCGGTCTCACTACACGATTCAAATTCCCAGGGTTTGTAAGAGACTTCATCAGGAAAGACATCTAAAGAAGAGTTGCCGTCATTTTTCATGTTGACGTCTAAACGAAAGAAATCGCAATCAAAAAAGCCTAAACTCAAGCAATAAAGGCATCGACAGTCAAGGGAGAACTTTATCGCTCCACAAACTACTGAAGTAGATGTCAGTGCTAGTGTTTTAAAACCATTCATGACGTCAACCAAAGTTATCGACCCAGAATGGTCAGAAATTGCTAGCAGTCTTCCATCGCGAGACCAAGCAAAAGACGAAACTTGGCAATTCCATGCGAAACGATTTATCTCCGAGCCGTCTGTGAGACTCCACATGATGACTAATTTGGCATCGTTGGTGCAATCAGTTAGCATCTTGATCTTGTCTGCAGAAACTGAACAAACCGAAAAACGGCACTTGCTCGAAAGAAAAAGCGGTTTCAAGTCCCCGTCAAACGTATAGGCATGGCTGAGGATTCCTGGTAAGACAAGGCCCTCTGTAGGATGGAACACTACTGAGCGATAAAATGACTGCCTACCATATGTCGGGCCTGGTCTATATGGTTCATAGTAGTTGAAGTCATCTTCGTCAGAGTTACAGTCGTAATTTTTCTCTACCTTGACATCTCGTTCCCATACCAGCCCACCAGTATCGAGCGACCATAGCTGAATCGTGCGATCAACACATTCACATACCATGTAGTCTAACCGTGATGAAACATCAAAACAAGTTACGGCAGCTGAACATTCAAATTTGGTTCGAAAACCCCCTTGCAGATCCTCTTTGTGCAAGTATTCCATATAGGTCATTTCAGAATATTTACTCTCCAATAATCTTGAAGCTTCGGGAGAAAATGGATCTCCCCCCTCGTTCAACAACGCTTGGAAGATGGTATGAGGGAGTTCTTCTAATGTGTCGATATGCTTTCTTAACAAGAGCAACAAAGTGTTAAGGGCCCTTTGAAGTTCTTCGATGCCCGCTTGCTTCTGGACGGAAACAATGTCTTCGGAAGCCGCCGTAACATTCACACACAACTTTGCGTACACAAGCTCTACGTCCAAAACAAATTTCTTAACAACGTCCTCAAGGCTGTATACTCTCGCATTCTCTAGTTGTAGCATGTGTTGAACTCCATGTTGCAGTGCGTACTCTGTAGTGTCACTGAACTATTTGCAGTTGACGCCGTCTCGTTTCACCTCATCAAATTCAACAATGCACAGCTTGGAAAGGACTTCATGGCCTTCCTTTTCAGCAACAATGAAGTGGTGCTGTCCGTAGTTGGATTTTTCAATCAACCAGTCTTTGACCGACTTGTGAAAAAAGTGAATACAATCGTCTTGAACGGGTAAAAGTGCCGAGACACAAGCAATTGCCGTACTTACTTTTCGCTGAAGCAATGATGTCGATTTACCTCGTAGCAACAATTTAGAAACGAAACCGAGTGGCAATGGCTCTCTAGCGGCTGCGACCGCACTCAGAAATGTCAAAAATTGGTCTTCCGTGACGTTAAGTTCCTTACAAAGTTCAGTCTCCAATCGTTTGAAATACGATTGGTACACAGACGAAATACCTGATGGTAAGATGCTGTCCAGCAGTTCAGGGGTTAAAACTGGCACTTCCTTCTTTATGAAATCTGCCAGGTAATGTGCGTATAGCATGACTCCCTCTGACTTTTGAACCAGCGCTTGCAAGATGATTTCTCGATGCTCAGATTGCAATAAATGGCCGAGTCGCTTTTCAAAGCAGAATTGAATATCCTTCACGTTCTCTTCAACGTTTGGATCCAGCTGCAAGGGGCGCAAATTCTTTAGAGTTTCTGCTACGTTTCTTTCCGGTCGCGTTGTCACCAGAAATCGAATCCACAGTGGAAGACTTTGGAAGTAATTAGCAATTACGTCTACAAGCTCATTTCGTCCCTGGAATTCGCTTTCGTCCAGTCCATCTATTACCATCAGATAGGTCAAACCAGGGTCGTTCAAGCTGGCTAGAGGTTCTTCAAACAGCACTTCGAACAGATCCATCACCTCCATGTTGTTTATCTCCACACCCAGATTTCTTGACAGCTTTTCTACGAGAGCTTTCTTGTAGTCTGGCAGAGAATCACACAGCTGACTGGCTAAAGACTGTAGCATCACCTTGGGATTCCTGTGGCGCGCCCTGCCATGCTGACAAAAGTGGCTTCCGGCTAGCCGCCCAGCTTCTTGCATCTTTTCACACATAACGGCTGAGATTACAGACTTCCCCATCCCAGCATTTCCACTGATCACCATCACACGATTTGGGCAACTTCTGTCTTCTAACCAACTCTCGACTTCGGCTAGGATTGACAAACGCGTTCCCTCTACGTATCTGTCGGCGTGATCTCTTACATTCTTCAAGGTATCAATCTTAGCGAGTTTCTTGAGAATTTCGTTTTCTCTGTGCTTTTCTCTTCGCCCTTCAGAGTCTTCACCTCTTTCCTTCAAATCTTGTCGCATAGCTTCAAAGTGTTCATCTTGGGCTGTCAATAGCTTCTCGTGGCTTTCTTCTACTCTTGACTTTGTCTCCTGAAGTATCTGATGGAATTCTTCCTGTCTGTCGAGCAGCTTCGCAACTCCCCTCTCTGTGTTCGTTTGCCTCTCACTTATTTTCTGAATTACTTTGCTATCATCAGTTTGAGTTTCACGAACATTTGTGACAACTTGATGTGTTTTTCTCTCGATCTGAAATACCTCTTGTAGCTTCATGTTGCTATCTTGAATTGTCCCACGATCTTCTAGTTGTTTTTGACGTACTTCATCAACAATTTGCTGTGTTTGGATCTGGGACTGGCGTACTTCATCAACGGTTTTCTGTGTTTCAGTCTGGGACTGACGTACTTCATCAACAGTTTGCTGTGTTTGGATCTGGGACTGACATACTTCATCAACAGTTTGCTGTGTTTCGGTCTGTACCTGATGTACTTCTTCCAGTTTCTTCTTGCTATCCTGAAGTATTCTACGATCCTCTAGTTGAGTCAAATGCACTTCATCAACAGCTTGTTGTACTTCGGTTTGAGATAGAAGTATGTCCTCCAGCTGTGACTTAATATCCTGTTCGCTGACAGACCATTCGCATAACACACCTATGTAGTCTTCCTCTCCACCATGCTCTGCCTTTAATCTATCAATTTCTGCCTTATCCAAGCCGAGACCATGAAGAGCGCCACTAATTTGGCGCCAAAAGGCATTGAAAGTAGGTGTATCAATACCGGTAGTGGTAATATGATCGTACAACTCATTCCGGAAAAACTTGATGCGAGCAAGGTTTGCCTCACGAGAGTGGTCCCTGGGGTGTGGTTTCCTGTGCCACCCTCCATGGGGAGGAGAAAGTCCACAAATGTTGGTCAGGAGGAGGAACAGAAGAGAAATGTCAAAATTCTTGGAATTTGGGAGGCCTCCTCCAGTTGGGAACAATTTGTTCCACTGAGGTGTATGCAAATGTCCATCCCTAAAGAGGTCATTGAGAGTACTATAGTGGCTGTTGAGGCTAGTCGCCAGACGTGATGGAGGATAATACTGGTCAAAATGTTTCTTTAGAACTGTTGTTCCACCATCAACGAGAAGTCTGCTCAGCTTGGCTCCATTTGTCCTCTCCACAGAGCTTGCCAGGGGTGAAGGTACAGCAGTTGCCATCTTCAACCAAAGTCAAGCCTTCAATCGTATCTGTATGAATAAGAAATAGCTTTACCTTCTTTCGCTCTTTCACGCGGGCAAATATTACATGCAGTGAAATTGGTTGAACTCTCTGGGTGCAGGGCAGTTGGAGG